ATATATATATATGATTTTAGAGTTGTTTTAAGAGAGCAGCGATCCTCTCTGGTCTTACTGTAGCTGCGTTCAGATCAGTCTGTTTGTCCAAAGAGCTGTTTACAACAACACAAACTGCTCATTTGTCAGTGTGACAGAAGTGGACTCACCCTGCCACAGTCAGACACTGCAGCTCTGCAGCGATGCGTGTCGGATGGCTGGTTGGGATGAGGTACTTCAGTGCAAACATCTCTCTCCTCCCGTCGTGCATCTGAGCTTCACCCAGGTACACCGAGCTGAACGTTCCTGAAACAGGTGGGCTTTTACCTTTACATTCATCAACTGACAGTGATGAACATGTTTTACTCCACAGCAAATTCAGCTCAAACCAAACAAAAAGCTGAGTTAACCACYTACCTTCTCCTATTTTGTCGATGATGTGGAAAACTTTGTGGAGCTGTGGGATGGCTTTATACAGGAGCTCGATCTCCAGCTCCACATCTCCTGATGGGAAAAACACAAATGTGTCATTAAACATGCAAGAAGTCCCCGAACAACTTCAATATTCACTTCTAATTTACATTCAAACAGCAGAACCACTTCAGGAACTACATTCATTAAAGTTTACTGTAGGAAACTGTTAAAACAAAATCATTAAGTAAACACTGATTAATAATGCATCACACTGATAGTTGTCATAAAAGCATTTTTTACTTGAGACTTTTCTTTTTCTTGCAGCTCTGTCAGACTTTATAAGACATCCTTCTGTGTTGGTATCAGTGAGCTCCATCTGAAAAACAAACATTCAACAAACAGCTTTACCCGAAACGTCCATATTTCATGTCATAATTAATGCTATAATATCCTATTACAAGTTCAAACTACGTTTATTAACACAATAACATGTTTAATAAAACTATCAGGTCAAACCAGAAACACAAAGACAGTAATTAAACAWAAACTCACCACTTCGTCTTGGTTGTAAAAAGCAGCAGCTTCGCAAATGAGCGTTTTATAAATTCATGTTACAGTCGTGAATTGTCCTCATCGATTAAAAGAAAAACAAATGTGTTTTTATCAGGTTACGGTGGATAAAAATGCTTGATTTGAACTTTATTCGCTCCTTTTCCGCCAACAAACTACGCGCTAAAAAGTGACGTTGCACACGTCGCTCAGAATAAACCACGTGACTCATGGCATCCAATCACACGCACCCTGAACCTCCACAGCCATGTGCGCATGCGTGAAGAAAACCTGAACTTTCCCTGCTGTTTTCAGTCTCATCATTCCTCAATAAACCACTACTGCTTTGGTTAAAATAATACACACTGTATAATAATATTATATAATAATAATAATGTAGTTCCTGCAGGTTTTTAGATAATCAGATGATACATTGTGAGTCCAACACACAACACATAAGTGTTTGTTCAACTCATATCAATCCCAATAACAACAATCCTTTACTTCATACCTTTTATCCTTCATAGTTTTATTTGTCTCTAACATCCTTAGCATTTGAAAAAAAAGAAAGTTGACAACACAAACTTAGAAAATTTAGTTACTTCAAAACTACTGATTCATTCTGACTGTGTCAACATCATTTCTGTACTTACACAGGTAACGCTTTCTTTTACGGTACCCTTATTACCATGTAATTACATGATAATTATGGTACAATTTTTACTATGTAATTAATTGTCTGCAGTTATGTAGCACTTACCTGGTAATGTACAACTCACTATGTAACACCTAAATAAGTAGTAGGTAATTTGGACAGTTTTAAAGTTTTATTTTATTGCAATTAACCACTAACCCCAAAATTTAGTTGCATTCTTTTGGTTATAAATATAGTGTTGAGTTACTATTGAACAGTAATTTGACTGCAGTTACCCAATAAAAGTAGTTTTACTAACAGTAGTTTTTCTTTTGCACCGTAATTACCAAGTAATTACATGGTAATAAGGTAGTAATTACATTTAATTAATGTTTATTATTACCTTGTAATTACATGGTAATAAGGTAGCAATTACATTAATTAATGTTTATTATTACCTTGTAATTACATGGTAACAAAGTAGCAATTACATTAAATTAATGTTTATTATTACCTTGTAATTACATGGTAATAAAGTAGCAATTACATTTAATTAATGTTTATTATTACCTTGTAATTACATGGTAATAAGGTAGCAATTACATTAATGTTTATTATTACCTTGTAATTACATGGTAATAAAGCAGCAATTACATTAAATTAATGTTTATTATTACCTTGTAATTAAATGGTAATAAGGGTACCGTAAAAGAAAGCGCTACCCTTACACAGATTCCCAAAATACATTTAAACTTMTGAAGCATATGTTGTTGGACATCAAGGCCGCAGAATAATAAAATGAATCTACAGGAAATTATAACCATTTTTATTATGGAGATCAAACACTAGAAGTATTTTGTTTACCTTTCTACAATAGAAAAGGCAAAAAAAGCTTTATTGAAAACATTAATGACATGCAAGATACACAATCTTTCATTTTATTTTATTAATAAATAATTAATGTTTATTATCATTGCTGACAGATCTCACTGACAGAGTTTCTTCATGTAGAACTTCATGCTTGTTGGTTTTGTTCTTCAACACTGACTAACTTAAATCCATTTATCTTCTTTACCTGCTTTTGTTTTCAGGTTGTGGACAGCTGGTCCTGTCCATCACAGGGACACACAAACAACCAAACCCTGTCTCACTCACAACCAGAACAAGTTTAGAGTGACCAGTGAACATAACAGTAATGACTCACATTAGATCCACCTTTGACTGCTACTGTGGACATTAGAAATAACTAACACAACTTCTCATGAATGTAACGAATCAACTCCATGAAAACCTTTAATAAACAAGCATGAACTCACATCAGTAACAGTTTGACCAACATGTCTGTTTAGTTTACAATATGAACAAAGAGTAACATGAGTTCAAAACAATCTACAACTCTGAGGATTYTAACAGGAAGAACGTCAGACTTAAAACAGACATGTTTCTAAAAGATGCCATCAAATATGCCAAACAAGGCTTCCTCCTCGTTGCTGTGTGTTAAAAACAAATAAAAAGTTCTTTAAAGATTTTAAAAAGCACTTTGGTCAGACTGTGAAACACAAGAAAATGAAAAAAGAAAAATGTAATTAAATACAGCAAACTGTTTCCTGTTACCTTGTGTTGAGAGAGGAGTTGGTGCTGGACGGTGTGAGGAAGAAATCCAACCTTCTGTTCACTGGTCCTCCCTCTGGKTGTTTCAGAGCCCTGTCAGGTGTTTTCAGCCTGATCCCATCACTAAACATGTTGGGCTGCTGAAAACCAGGATGACAAGCTCATGGCTCCATTTAAAAACAAGAATGTAACATTTTTCAGACTGTTTGGTACAAAGACCTTCAGAATGTTTTAACACACACGTGAGATGTGTCTCTGTTATTGAAACACACACACACACACACACACACACACACACACACACACAC